CCTAGTCTCTCAAGAATGTATTTTTATAAATATACATATATATGTATATATATAATTTTGTTGAGTGCAATCACAACGTTGTTGATAAGCAAAAATTCCATTGTGACATCCTCTCCATTATATTTCGTATAAATATGAGCTATATACATACATACAGACATTTATTTTGCACTCTCTTTTACGATAAGGCAAAACTCACGTTCTAGAGCTTTGCATATACAGTTCAGTTACTAACTGTACTTTATACAGAGCAACATTATAAAGTTGTCGTCGAATTTCGTGACGACCTCTCATAGAGCAAAAAAAAAAGAACCAGCTGAATTATCGGAGGCTGCTGACTCATTAAATATTTTAGTAAATAAGAAAAAAAAGTAAAGTAAAGAAAGAAAGAAGCAGCGCCTAAAATATACACTCGTAGACATGTTTGTACCCTGCGAACGCTTTAAATGGGTATAACGGCTATGTAATAGACAGAAGGCGTGGCAGATCCTACAAAGTGTATAAGTATTTGATAGAAAAATTGGATACATTCCGAGATTCTTGCCGAATCCTTACTTGTCTTCAAATAGTAGAGGCGTGTACGTTTGCTTATTTATAGATGTACATTAAGCGTTTCAGTGTATCTGCTAGTCGGACATCTGACCTTGTTTTATTGTTGAATTTGCTAGCTTATTGTTGTTATTGTTGTTGCGCTCTAAGCCAAGTTGTAAGTCATGTTAGCCAATTCCAAATTCCAAAATTCCAGACAAAAGTAAGAAATAGATAGATCGAGCGAAAGATAGATATATTTATAAATATGTATATAAATATTTATGGCGAGACCGCAAATGTGCCAGAAATCGAGCGCATTGATTAGACTCTTAACGGCTATTTTATTTATGTCTATGTAAATGAGTATATATATAGCTATATATATATATATTTATATTCATATATATAATATTTATGAATCCAAAGACCGTCTCGCCAGAGAATCTCTGCTATATACTAAGCTTTTTTCAGCCCAAAATTTATGCATAACGCCTCGCGGGCGTCATTTTATCTGCCAGATACCATCAGCATAATTATCTTCATCATCATCAACATGATTATGATCATCACTGTGGTTTGTCTCGAGAAAATGTCAATCAATAGAAATTCTTATTAATTGTTTTTGAAAAATCACACACAAAACATGATAAATTGAGGCATTGCTCCGACCGATTGTTAAATTATTTTCAGATTCTTTTCTTCGGCTTCAGTTTCAGCTTTCTTTTCGGGGTCAACAGTTTTTTCTAATGACCCGTCCCAAATGAGTGTGAAACGCTTTTTGCCAAAAATTTTGCAGTTTTCAATTAAGCTTTAGCGTGTTTTAATAACTGTATCGATAATTGCTGTTGTTAACGCAAATTTCGATAATCAATTGAAACTTGGTGTAGGAGAACACCAAACAGATTACTAAAACCCAAATTGCTGGTATTTATAGCTTTCATAAACTTTCGTATGTATATGCTACAAGCTTGATGAAGTTATCAAATAATCGATTTATCGTTAAGATAACGTTCGAAGTTCGAACTATAAAAACGTAATGTGCTATACTACAAAATCAGCTACTCATATGACATACTTCTTTAGCCTTCAAATAAATTATAAGCAAAACACTTCTATATTGATATTTATCGATTTAGCTGAAAATGAAGGCTATATCTCTCTCTAATAGAGTCGTATAAAATGTATTTAAATTGCCTACATTTTCTGCTACCCATCATACCCCATTCAAGTGTCAATTCTACAGAGCATATCAAGAGCATGGCGAGCTGTTGACAAAGACATAAAAACAATACTATTTCATTGATTTACATTTTTATGGCCTGTGTCTATCTGCATATCGGCTTCTTGATCAGCACATAACTTTTCCTTCTTCTTCTGCGCAGCTCATAAAATTTGCTTATCGCTATGAGGAACAACTACTACAGTGAGCATTCGATAGTCCCACAGTGCATTCACCTTCATTTATGCAACGCTCCAATTGCAGGCGCCTCGTACAGGGGGAACACGTGATGAGCAAACAAAGCGAGCAGCAATCAGCGTTTGCTCTCTTTCACTATTTCACATTCTCCTCAGCCATTGCAAAAAAAAGGCAACGCAATCAAAGGGACAAACCAACCAATTGACGACAATGTTTGTGAGATCATTTATTTTAATTGAAACAACAGACGGAGGAAGGAGAGAAAGAGAGAGCAATTGTGGGAGTACCCTTACTAATAGAATTCCCGCTAATCTCAAATCAGTTAGCAGACAGCAATTCAATTAAATCTAAAACTAATAACTGAGTGCTAAGTGACAACAGTTTTTATAACAGCTATCTCTCTCCCACCCACACACACTCTCTCTCTCTTTCTCCCTCGCTCTCTCGGTTATTGTCAAATGGAAACTTAACACGCAAACCAATTGACAACTTTTGTGGTTTTCGATTGTTTCTGTTATTTTTTCGCATGTCCACTCCAATAACGCTCAACAAGTGGGCCTCGATTATGAGCCAAAACGGTGCGAAGGACGCCCAAACAGCTGGCGCTTGAGCTTTAGCGCTTTATATGGCCAAAACAGAGATACGAAAATTGTATAAAAAGAAAAAAAGCTAAAACGGCAACAGCAGCGCAACATAGGCAAATATGGTTATGCATTTAGATAGAGAGAGAGAGAGATTGAGAACGTGACTCTATTCACAATTCTCCTGAGACATATGCTGATACATAAATGAGCTTCACTTTATTTAATTATGAAGTTCATTTGAGCTAAGTATCTATAATAAATGGAAACTTGTAGCAAGACTATTCACATTGATGAAAATTTTAGCTATATTTACTATTGTTATATAGAGCTGATATATTCTGATACAGCGGGTATATATAGCATACTATATAGTATACAACTGCTTTACTTCTTACAACTGAAACTGGATTTCATTTAGTTCATAATTGGACCCCAACTTGTATGCAATATATCTAGACTTCTACTATATCGAAACAAAAACCATTTTATCGACCGATAACATATTCTTTATGATTCCAGGGCCCATGCAAGTACAAGTGCATGGGTAAATTTGATATACAATCAAAATTTTGTATTTTATTGATAGCTCAAGATAGAAAAACATATATTTGGGGTTTTATTTTTGGGAGCGCCCGTTGTCTAGGAAACTGCAATCTTATCCTTAACCAAACTTGAATTATGGTCATGAGCACGAATGTTTACGATCCAATTAACGATAGGCGGACTATCTGCAATATATTGCCCCAGATAACGAAAAGACTCTATATATGGGACTCTATATATAATTTCATTTGTGAAACGGCTTTAGTTGAGTGTAGAACATTATGTATCAATCAAAGGTTACGCTGGATATGGCCAAGTTATAAGTTATACATACTAAAGGATATTATCCACTCTACTGCGCTCCTTACAGATAAATTCCAAGTACAGTGAGGAGCTGGCACAGGAGTCGCTGGAATGGATTAAGGCTGTGACAGGTGAACCCATCAACACATCGGGCGATACGGACAACTTCTTTGAGGTGCTCAAGGATGGCGTGATCCTGTGCAAGCTGGCCAATTCCCTACAGCCCGGATCCATCAAGAAGGTTAACGAGAGCAAAATGGCCTTCAAGTGCATGGAGAACATTTCGGCTTTCCTCGAGTGTGCCAAGAACTTCGGTGTGCCCACACAGGAGACTTTCCAGAGTGTCGATCTCTGGGAACGACAGAATCTCAATTCTGTTGTCATCTGCTTGCAGTCGCTGGGTCGCAAGGTAAGCAAGGCTTTAAAGGTATTTATATCACAACATACTAATGATAATTCTCTCGATGTAGGCCTCCAACTTCAACAAGCCATCGATTGGCCCCAAGGAGGCGGACAAGAATGTGCGCAACTTCAGCGAGGAGCAGCTGCGTGCCGGCCAGAATGTTATCTCCCTACAGTACGGCTCCAACAAGGGCGCCACCCAGTCGGGCATTAACTTCGGCAACACTCGACACATGTAGAATCACTCACACTCGTACTTCCTATCGCTCTCACTCACATTCCGCAATAAAGCCAAAACAAAAATGAAAACATCTTCCGTTCCGGCATTCCCCTATTTAAAAAAACAACAACAAAAAGAAAACCAAGACAAAAAATGTATTTATATAAAGCAAATGTTTCTTTATATTTGTATTAGAAATTGAACATTTTTTGCAACAAATTACTTTAATTTAATATTATTAAGTACTCGAACGTACGGATTTTTTAGAATGATTATATAATTCTATTTTCAACAAAAAAAAAAAAATGCATTTCTGGCACGATCAATTACTAATTATCTTATATATATATATTCTTATATAAATCCAGTAAGCACTCAATAATTGTGCCATGACCAAACGTAACGGATTGCCTTGTGACTAAAGTACCGCCAAAATTTAAATCAGAAAAAAGAAGAAAGCTAAAAATCTGTTGAAAAACTAACCACCTCAATTTCAATCAATACCTGAGCATTTAAAATGAATGTATTCAAAGCATCGAAATAGTTGAAAAGAGAAACAAATATATAATATGTATTACTACACATTTAATTGATATATAATATATTTTAAATGTTATTCAATGTTGAAAATAAATATTCTTTTAACAAATGTGATCTATTGATTTCTTATCGATATGCATGTTTGATATGATTGGGGGAGCTATCGATATATGCGTGATCAGGATCACCAGGGTGGCAAACAGTAAATACCAACGCCAATACCACTAACTTCTCTGGTGAGTGCAAATACCAAAACAAGGATGTTAGTGGAATTTTCCATCAAATGCATTTGTATCTATTTACAAATTAATTACACAATTTATCTATATTATTATTAAGCATTCAATATACATCATTAATACTTAAATTAAAGAAATATTTTTCCTAAGATAGTCCATTTATTTGTTTTATTCTTTTTTTTTCGGTTTTCATGGAGATAGACTCAAGAACTATCGATACATTTCTACATTTTGTGATCACTAAACATTGGGACCAACGCCAAAACAAAAGTTTCAACACATGGATACAGAGATTTGTCGCATATGTTTGAATGCATCTAATACGCTGGTGGGAATTTTCGCTTTGCGGGAGGAAAGTCAAAATGGCCAACCAGAGCCCAGCCTGGCGAATATGCTAAACGCATGTGCTGATTGTCATATCAAAATCAATGATGGACTGCCACAACAAATCTGCATGAGTTGCGTCCGAAGCGCTCAAAATGCGTACAGATTTAAGCGCAAGTGCGAGGAGAACTATCGACAGCTGTTGGAAAGGCGCAACTCGCGATCCTCAAAGAAAGAGCCCGAAAAAACAAAAACGGAACCAGATTCTAAGCACGTAAATCAGGGGAAGGAAGAAACAGCACAGTATAAATGCCAACTTTGTAGTAAAGAATTCCCGCATTTGAGCCTACTACGTGTGCACAAAAAGTAAGACATTCTGTTTATCAAATCATTGCCTACCCTAATCTTATTCACTGCTTTCCAGATGGCACCTTGAAAACCAATCGAGGGTCAAAGTCACCGCATTGCCAAAGCAAGTACCAACGTCGGTTAAGCGGAATACCAAATACCCCGTTCGGCAGAAGAAAAGTCGTAATTTGCCGCTAATCAAGAACCATTCCCACAGCAGCGAGCGACCATTTGCGTGTACAAATTGCCCGATAGCATTTCAAAGTAAGACACATTTAGTGAGACATATGCGCAATCACACGGGTGAACGTCCTTATCAGTGTCCCCACTGCGCAGACAGCTTTGCAAGAAGCGACTATTGCCGCAATCATATGAACAAAGTGCATAGAGGTCTAAAATTCACTGGCAAGTTGGCGTAAGTAGTGAAATTTGTAATTACAAAAATTTATTTCAAGTTGATCTCTTTTCATTTTGTAGTCGAAGTAAGAAGGGAAAATCGTAAGATAATATGCATCAACAGACACTAGGGATCTTCGATCTTCCTGATTTGCAAAATAAAATGACAAAAACATTAAGGTTTTCATTCATTGAATTGAGTATACAAATTTAGGACTAAATATATATATTTTTTTAATTTAAGAATAAATTGAATAAAATATATCGATACTTACACATCTTAATTGTGATGGAGACAAAAAACATCGCTATGCGATTAATCGGTACACGCACATCGCAATTGTGCAGCCCGGCTCAATATTAAGAGAAAACAAGGTTGTTTCACGCCAAGGGATTGCAACTTTGCTTGTATTGCATTTGTTGCAATAGTTCTTGTGCTTATAAAGTATTAAACAATACCATATATACTAAGAAAATTAAGTGCACTCATCTACACTCAAAAAATACATCAATATCGGAAATAACTAGCAGCAATATTGTGAAATGTGACGTCAGAGCACGCAGACCAAAAATGCATTAGCGCAACACGTAACCTTGGCCCTGGCAACGTAATGTACATATGTAAATTACAAGTGCACAAATAGTATCCGATATAGTGAGTGCATACAATATGGACGCCGACAGCAGCTCACGTTCACCAAGAGGTTTGTATTGTGTTTCAATGGCTTCTTTAAGCAAAATGTGCAAACAATGTTTTTGTTGTTTTTTTTCTAGTGACAAAATGTGAAAGTGATTTGCAATGGCAAGCCAAAAAGGACGCGCAACATATTCGATAAGCGAAATGCAGTGAAGGATGTACTAAAGAGCATATTCTGGATATAAACGTATCAAAAGACGCCGACATATAAAGCTAAATACTGAACGAAGCTTCTCTTGTATGTGTTGCATTTAGATACGAGGAGGCGCACGCGTCCCAAGGAGAAGGAGAAAGAGAAGGTGCCATACTTTGCGGATGAGGCAAGGGAACGTGATCGAGTGCGCAATCTGCGACTTAGGAAAACATCGATAACACGCCCAACCACACCACCCAGAGGAAGGCCAAGACGTGCCAGATCTCGCTCATATTCTGCGGAACGCAATTGCTGCCATCGACGTCGCCGGTCCAGGAGCTACGAACGCCGTCACAGCAGCAACCGCTATAAATCCGCCACAGCACTCGCTGCAAAGCCTAATCGACGTCGCAGCCGTAGCCGCAGTCGGAGCCGCAGTCGCTCTCGAACGCCACGCATTATAACGGTGCCTGTGCCAGTGCCTGCTGCCGATTATCCCTACGCCTACGTGAGTAGCCAGCTCCAACTCTCAGCTCGATTGTCCTCGACTAATAAATTCCTCTTGCAGGCTTGGCCACCTCCGCCGCAGCGTCCACATTTCAATCCCATGTATGGCGCCGTGCCATATGGTCTGCCACCACGTCCTGTGTATCCTGGGCATCCGTATTTTGCGCCGTATCCACGGCCGAGACCAACATTTCCCTATCGAGCCGCTCCATTCCGGCCGCATCCCCGATTTAGCTATAGGAATCAACGGCAGGCGCCGAATTGAATTTTTTAAACTTTACATAATTACAAATTTATTTACTCAACTGCTATTTACATTCGTGTGTTTTGATTTGTACATTAAATTAATAAATTATACACATGAAACTAAATACAAATAAAAATAATAAAAAACATAAAATATTGCAATTATTGAACGGGAGAGGGAAGTTTCTTGATGGGGTCTTGAATTTGATTAAATCAGACATTACAGAGTCGCAACAAAAGTCACACGAGGATAATGGATAATGCTAATCACGTTGAACTTAAGGACTACTCTATGCCGACTTTATATACATGCACATTTACACATACATACATATTTTTGTGTTTTCGTTTTAGAGAGAACTAACACTAGGGGAACTCCTAAGATTCATATTTATATATATAAATATATATTCATATATATAATAGAGCACTATGTCAATAAATTATAAAAAAATATATATATAGATCATTTTTGCATTTGCTTGTGTTAAAGCTCGACACGAGGACGAAATTGCAGCCGTAACGGTGGATCTCGAAAGCGCCAACGTGTCACATAGACAAATTTCAACGTGTGATCCTTGCCCAGCAGCTCCTCATTACACAGTATATCGATCTGCAGGGTTATCGGATAATACATTAGATAAGTTATCGCAATTACTTATTGTTATTGTAAATATAGTTATGCTAGCGATGATCTCACCTCCCGATATTTTTCGATTCCGTTGAGTATCTTCTTAGCGACGAGCTTTTTGAGATGCGTTATCGTCGCCTGCGAGCTGCAGCGTATAAAGCGTCTTTGCAGATTCTTAAAGTTATTGCTAATACACTCGAGGCACACGTTGACCTGTTCGTCGAGACGGTGGAAGTCGGATTCGGCATGCGCGTCCATCACCTTCTCGTTGTCGTCATCGTGATTTTGCGTTATATCCTTCGGACATGGCATATTCCGACTCTTGTAGAAATCACGTTCGCGCCGCGACTCATCTGCAATTCGAAACAGTTTAAGAGGAAGTTCGCTAAATTTAATGTATTACATTCTGTTTACCTTCTTGAAGCTTTGGCACCAATTTGTACACAATGTCCTGCATGGTGCGATCGAAGCTGATGTACTGCAGCGGATGTGATTGATGTATAATGTTGTCGCAGGTGGGGCATGTCTTTTTCTCCTCCAAGTGTTTGACCAGGCAGCTTTTGCAAACTGTAAAATATGCCAAATGCAAAAATATAAATATTTGTTTACATATATGTGCGCGTGTGTATTTTGTAGTTTGTTCCATTTTTGCTTTACTCTTCAATCACGATGGAAAACGGCGTAGGATTAGTTTTTGGCGTTGCCAGCTTTCATCATACACACAATTTATCACCCACGCGATCAGCCGGCAATCTCCTCCATAAAGCACAACAGAGGGCTTACAAGAGCAAGTGTATGTATAGGAGTAACGGTAGCACCTTCCCGCTGGAAGCCTCATCTGAACATGACTGCGTGGAAAAGCAAATGCCAGAGGCAACGGCAACGGCAACCGGTGCAGGTGCTCGTGCTCCCCCCACTCTTAAACTGATACTGGCAATTAGCGCAAAAAAAAGAGCAAGCAGAGGCGAAACTCACATGTGTGCAGACACTCGGTCACTGTGGTCGCATCTATGAAATAGCCACCGCATATTTTACACGTTATGTGCGGATTAATAGTCTTTAGTTTTACGCGCCGCTCCATTTTGGCAGTTTGATTAACAAATTTCTTATGAAATAAATAACTCTCGCTCGCAGCATAAAATTCTCTCTCCTCCCTCTCTCAGCGAACAATTTGTTGTCTTTTCCGTTTGGTTGGCGAATATTCGCTATTCCTATTGCGACAAATTGTGCGCACACGTATGCAAAACACTCAACACACTCTTGTACATTTTTGCTATGCACTTTAACAGTATTTGTAATATTATTTTTAAACAAATAAAAGAAATCACGACAAAATTGTGTGTACGTGTACGTGTGTGAGTGTGAGTGTACGTGTACATTGACCGTGGTGAATGGCAATTCAAGCATATCGTAGCCATGCACTGTGAATGCGTAATGGTGCTGCCAGATATTTGAGTATATATTTTTAAATATAAACACAAACAACGAATTATTTAAGAAGAATCAATGCAAATTGAGCTAAGATGACTTTATAAACAAAAATTATTGACGTCAATATTAATATATAAATGACACTCAATAATTCATTTAAAATAGGTAATAAATCGACTGCCACCACATTTACTGGTTCCTTAACATTTAATCTGTTAATTTAAATTTATAACATGGAATACAAAAATCAAATGCATTTTCTGGTTTTTCGATGATTGGCGAAGGAAGACCGTTATGTATATTTTATAAAGTTGTTATTATTTTATTTTGATTTTCATCAGAACTGTTCTGCCAATCGGAATGCTGTTTATGCATTTACATTTCTGTTAACTTAAAATACCAACGAAAAATACCACAATATTGATTTTTGCACTTGTTGCTTTTCGCGCAGCAAATAAAGTTAACATTCTTGTTTTGAAATTCTAATTAAATCAAAAAAGCTGTCAATTAACGCGTTAACATTATAACAACAATAACAATAACGAAAACTTGTTTGCAGGCCAAAAACCCCGAACAGCAGTTTAGTCAGCAAAACTTCGCACGAGTCGCTTTTGAGTCATTTTCGAAGCGAAGCAAGTCGTGAATTGTTTGTGCTTAGCTTAAAAATTCAATTCGTTATTCTTACTTGAGTTCAGTTGCGTTCAAGTCGTTAAACTGGCAGCACGTATCATGTCCGCAGGTCGAGTTTTCATCTATGGGGGGAAAGGAGCCCTCGGGTCCGCCTGCGTCGATCACTTCAAAGCCAAAGACTTTGTAAGTTTCCCTTTCACTTTTATTGTTTTTGTTTTGTTTCTTATTTAATTGCAATTGTTTAATAATTTCCATTGTTTCTATGACATGACCTCCAGTGGGTTGGCAGCATTGATTTGAGTGAAAACGACAAAGCAGACATAAGCATTGTTGTGCCACGCGATTCGAGCTGGGAGGAGCAGGAATCGTCTGTGGTTAGCCAGGTGGGCGAATCTTTGGCTGGCCAGAAACTGGATGCTGTGATCTGTGTAGCCGGCGGCTGGGCAGGTGGCAATGCCAAGAAAGGTGAGTCACGGCAAAACTCACCCAAGATTAATTAAAAACTCATGTAATTCCTTTTTATAGATCTGGCGAAGAATGCGGATCTGATGTGGCGGCAAAGCGTCTGGAGCAGCTGCATCTCAGCCACATTGGCGGCACACCACCTGAAGACAGGTGGTCTGTTGGCACTGACCGGCGCCAAGCCTGCCCTGGCTGGCACTCCTGGCATGATTGGCTACGGCATGGCCAAGGCTGCAGTGCATCAGCTAACACGCTCGCTGGCGGGCGAGAATTCCGGTTTGCCCGATAATGCGCTGGTTGTATCCATTCTACCTGTTACCCTAGACACACCCATGAACCGCAAGTGGATGCCCAAAGCTGACTTCAGCAGCTGGACACCTGTTACCGAGGTCGCCGAACTCTTTGAGAAATGGACACAGTCCAAGGACAGACCCAAAAGCGGTTCCCTGCTGCAGCTGATCACAAAGAATGGCATTACGGAACTCATTCCGGCGGAGTAGAGACAAGAGATTATTGAACAAACTAATGATGATACACTATATACAATATACATATATATAATGCTTGTGCTTAAACAAATATGAATAAAGGGATGATGGAGGAAGAAGCTTAAATATGCTTGCAAAGCAAAAGAAAAATTGTTATAGCAATATTTGATAATGTTTATTAAAAATAGAGGAACTCCATTTATATATACCCTTCGCCGAGGCAAATCAGAATTAGACTAAGATATATATAAACAGCTTCTACCTTTTATACACTGAAAAATACTTGAAAACAATTCAGCTTGGTATGAACTAATTATCAAGGAAGTAAGCTTTCAACCAGATGTATATTTGTATATAGAGTATGTGTATCTATATGTATATATATACATATACTCTAAAAACAATCTCACAAGTCTTACAAACTCCATTACATAGTCAAAGTACCCTCTCAGATAGTTTAAATAATACATTTTTCAAATTGCTTCCCAATTGCGCTCGCTTTCGTTTAATGAATTTTCTCCCATATTGTTTACACCATTAGTTATTAGTGTGATAACCTATTGAACTATGATAATCGTAGTTGTGAGCAGCTCGCAGCTTATGTCTTCTTCTTCTTCATGATCTTCATAAAGAGTACCATGGCTGCAAAGAGAGATGAGTGACGAGAGAGAATCACATCTAATCAAATTCCGGCTTACCTATAAAAACGACGATGACAAATACAAACATCAACCAGAGCCAACATTTGTAGGCTTTGCGTGAATGCTGTTCCAGCTTTTCGGCCTCTTTGCCGAGTGTATTGATATTGCGATCTGCCACGCCTGAGGAACGGGATACAATTTCCGTATCCTTTTTGATGATACGATTCGCCGTCTCCGTTTGCTCCTTCAGATTGCGCGTCAGCGAGAGCATGTGCTCAGTTATCTTCTCCTGGGCATTGTTGTAATACTTGACGGCTTCGTTCATGTTCATGCTGTTGCCGCCGCTGGTGGTTTCGCCAGGAGACCCCGAATCATCAGCAACTCTTCTGCGACGCAGTGCATCCGCATCTGTAAGGGGGAGAGGGAGAGAACGAGAAAAGTTGAGTGCTTCTTTATCTACTCCGACGCCTACCTTGCAGCAGCTCCGTACGCAACTCGTTGTGCCTGGCTGTGTTTTGGAGCTGTCGCATTTCCTGCAGCGCAATGTCTGTATCGGAGCTACGCGCGGAAGGCTTGGAATTATTGTTGGTCGTGTAGCCAGTGATTTTCTTTAACGCGTCTAGTCGCTCCAAATAGCTGGGTATGCGTGCAGCACTCGATGGACTGTTGCAGTAGTGGTTGGGTTGGCATTTTAGATATTTTATTTCAGCCAGACAAAATAATATGTCCACTCACTCTTCCATTGCCGCCAGCTCGGCAACCATCGTTTCTAGTGATTTGAGGAACTTTTGCAGCCGCCAAAAGTTGTCCTCGCTTTTTGCCAGATCCTCGCAGTTTGTTAACAGCGTTCGTATGTTTACATTTAATTTCGTTGCCATTTTATATACAAAAACATACAATAATTTATTATCGCTGACTTCTGAGCATCAAAAGCTACGTGTATCGATAGCGATATTTAATTATATTTTTCTTTTTGCTAGCTGGTATCGATATCATCCTATTATATATACTTGGTATTTTTTGTAACAGCCAATATCGATAGTTATCCAGCACGACATTATATGACTTTAAATTGAATAGTTTTTAGTATATGTATCTTCAAGTATTAGAATTTATAATTTTAAGCTTCAAATAACACATTTATAGATTCAATTAATTTTCGTTTTGCAACAGCTATTATCGATACTTATGCAATGACAGCTTGTTGTCAAACAAGTGTCATTATTGACTGAAGATTTGATGATTTAATTACTTATATGTTCCTTCCATCATATATTTAATTAAATTATCATTTCAATGGAATTTTTAATTAAAACATGTAATTTACAGCATCTCATCCGAACAGCTTGAGTGAGCTGCGTACTTGGCTCTTGCGAACAGCTGAATTGCTCAACCAAATGCAACGCTTATTCCAAAGCGCTTGCCAACACTCCGTCGCGACGTTTGGACGTAGAAACGCGAAGAAAACGGCAGTTTGCTGGAACATTTTTTGCTCCGTGGATTTTAATTAAATTTAAAATTACTGCAAAAACCGCCAAGTATGTACGTGCAAGATACGCAAGCGGAATATATAGTGCCGGTTAAATTTAAGAAGTGCATGTTTCATAAAACAAAATGAGAATAGAAAGTGGCACAGAGTATAAGAAATGTAAATGATAAAAAAGAGTCAAAGCCAAAGAAATGCGAAAATATATACATATACATACATATGTACATCCGCATACATATGCACTTATATGTGTCGTGCGAGAAAGAGACAAGGCCATGAGAGTGAAGCATATTAAGATAATACATATAAATAACAGTGCAACCATTTAACAATTTAGCATAATTACATTCAATGTACGTTATGTACGTATGTAACTGCATTTTAAATATTTCCGCAATGGCATTAATAATTGGAATGCTTGCCGCTGGAAAGGGGATCATTTTGTGAGTGTGTATGTGAGCGAGTTTGAGTAGTTGAGTGTATTTTTCATGCGTGTGTGTCAGGACATATATATAAATATATATGTATGCAAACGAAGGGAACATAAAAGCGGTGGTATCTATGTAAAAAAATATATATAAATATTACTTAGAAAATGTACAAGTCAAAAACATAAAACGGCTACTTCGTAAATTTAAACAAATAATATATAAAAAAGATGTGTACCACACATTCGAAAGAAAACCTACGAAAGTGGTTGCTCGCGTCACTGCTACGTTTGTATATGCATGCGTGTGTGTGTGTATGACATACACACATAGGTGCGTTCACCACGGACAGTGTTGTGTGTGTGCGTGTGAATGCGAGAGGAATGCTGTCTATGTATCACGTTTCGCACTCTATATGCATATATGTTCATATATAAGTCGAGGTATGTGTGTGTGTGTGTGTTTAGTGTTGTGTAGTGCACAAAACATGAAGTCAACAGATTTGAATTCTGATTCTTTTAAATATATACATATTTGGCTTATGTTTTGAAGCCAGTGCATTAGATCGCTGACACTCGCTCCCACAACAGATACATTGTGGGCATGGTTGCCGTTTGCCAAAATGTACGACTGGCCATTTTGTCTGCGCCATAGTTGAGCAAATCGATCTGGTTTATTCTCCGGTTTTCAAACAAAAAAAAGTTGCATCCCTAACCAGGCAGCATTCACTAGCAGAGGGCGATGCACAAAAGAGACAGTGAGACGTAGCGAGAGAGAGAGAATGAGCGTCCGTATGACAAACATACACACACACAGATATATACATATGTATATAAGAAAACAAACTTGTTTGGCCGTGCGGTGTGTACTCTCTCGCTCTGGCCCTCGATCCCGCTCACTTGCAAAATGAGCAAAACGCCGCTATTCGTTAAAAGAGAGAGCTCACAAATCTGCTTTTGAGTGGGCTGCTGCTATTGCTGCTGTTGCTCGTTTCCATTCTCGCTACTCGCTGCTTTGGCCCGTAGCTGTTGCTCTCTCTCTCTCTGTTTTAGCAACTACTCAAAACCAAAAGCAAAGCTAGACGAGCAAAATTTCCATTGTGTGTGGCGATGTCGCGTCGTCGTTGTCGTTGCCAGCTACCAGCAGCAGAAGCAGAAACGGTCTCGCAGTCGGTTTTAAATTTTCTGACTCGTCATTTGGTGTTGTGCGAAAAGCGAGAAAAACGCACTTATATACATATATTTATAAATATATACGTTCGGCTACATATGTGTATATTGAGTAATAAATTAAAAATAATATGTATTTAATGCGGCGCAGAAGGCAGTGCAAGGTGCAAGTTCGATACAAAAAAGATTAGCAATAAATTCAATCAAGTCTCCCATCGCTGTCAATGCTCTGTGTACGTGTGCATGTGTGTGTGTGCGTGCATGTGATATTGTGTGTGTGTGAGTTTCTTTTTAAGCACAAACTCATTACAATTTACTATTACTCATCTGCTGCTGCTTCTTGCCTCTGTTCCACACACAAAGACTGTGAGTGAGTGAGAGAAAGAGACAGAGAGCGAGTCGCAACACGCAAACCGCAAATAACTTACAACTTTATATTGTGAAAAATCGAAATACGAAAAAAATGTATACAGAAAAATGAATTTGAAAATGCACAATTGGCAAGATTTGCAACAGTGTCGAAACACCGTTATGTGCAGACATTTATAAACGACGCATTTAGAATATATTTGCAAAAGATATATATCTTACATATTTACTCAATTTGTATAAACTGTAGCTAAAAAAACTACCTATTTTAGTTTTTTCGTTTTCTTTCCTTTTTTTTGTCTACATCAACGATTAACGAAAACTCAACGACTTTCATCGTCGTGCGTCGGTGTTTATATGTATGCATGCATAAGTGTGACTCGTTTGCTCTCTCGCTGATACAACTACAGACATACACACACTAAGAAGCACCCCAGTCGTCGTTCTCGTCACGTCGACTGCGCGCCTTGAAAAAGTCAATTTGGTTTGTGTGCATGTGCGTGTGTGTGTGTGTGTGTGCGTCGAGTCTCTCATTCGCTTTCGTCTTGCGCTCAGTGTCGAATGAATGGACAGTGGTTCAGCTCCATGAAGTGAGAGAGCGACAGAGTTGGAGCATTAGTAGATGGACGTGTGCTGCTGCGGCCGTCCACCCTTGTAATTGCCGCAAATGTGCGCGTGTATTTGTGAGAGAGCAACAAATAAGTAGAAGCAGCAGTAGTAGCAGTAGTCTCAATAAAAAACAATAAGACTAAAACGTTAAAAATACAAAATTGTTTTTTATTGTCGTGTGCCAGCGTAAATGCGAATGTGGAAGTGTGAGTGAATATGAGTGTGTTTTGTGAGTGCAATTCTCCGAAAGCCAAGTCTCTCTCTCGCTTTACAGTAAACTTGACTGGGATGTTGTTGCTGATTTCGAAATTGATTTAACTGAACGTGTTTCGGCTTCGGAAGCGCGCGCATAAACGAAAACGAAATATTCAACAACAACAACAATAATAATAGAAATGACAATAATCTTCACTTCTCTCTTACAGTGCAGCGTCGTAAATAATAATAATAATAATATATACACACACACAACAAAACAACGAAGTGAAAATGTGCCGCAATATGTGTGTGTGTGCCAAGTGCATTAAAAATAGATAGAAAATACATAAAAAGAATTCTTAATTATTAAAATAATCAAAATACGTGCATAATCAATTTTCGTTCTGCTATTAAACACCAAAAATTCAAAGTAGCTGCAAACTGCAACAGCTGCAAATCAACAGCAAAAATAAAATACAAATACAAGAAGAATAAATGAAAAAAAATTCACTCAAAAGCAACGCAATTTGTGTCTCTGTGTACGTGTCTGTGTCTGTGCCTGTGTGTGTGTGTCTCTCTTGCTCTCTCACTGTATCTATTGTCATATAAGAAGAATCAATACAACAGAAAAAAGTAAAAAATTCAAAGCAACAAATATCCAATCAAAACAAATGTGCAACAACAACAACTGCAGCTACAAAATACTAAACATATATTAATTACTATATATGTGTGTGTACATAAAAAATCTACATCTTGAGAAAATGAGGTGCTGCTGTTGTGCAAATATAATAAGCCAAGAACTATGACGCATCAAAATCATCAGACAAACGGCGCAAGTTTGGAGGATTGCCATACAAACTTTTATGCCTTGGTAAGTGTAAAGAAAAAACAAAAACAAAAAAGAACAGCAAGTAAGGTGTCCCGTCTCTGTCGCACAATCTAGTTCCATTTTGCCATTTCCGTTAGATCTAGGTCAGTGACAAATGCAGCACAGGGCGTTTCAGGTTGGATAGTTGGGCGCCCACGCGCGCTCCGATCGCCAGCTGCTTATCGATAATCATTGGCAATGGCCATTGATTAAGTATGGTTGCGTGTTCTACCTTCCTCGCTCTCGCTCTCTCTTTGCTCGGACTCTGTAACGTTATTTTCTTTCACCTAAAAAATCACACAAAAGCGGAACTATGCATAGATACAAAACAAGTCAAAGAAAAGAAATGAAAAGGCAGCAGCACACAATCACAATGTATCTGTGTGTGTGTGCGTGTGTACTACATGCGACAACATTGTCCGGTCATAACAGGTTCTTCTTCGGCGTCTAGTTGGCCGCCGGGTCGCGCCGTTTCTTTTTCACACAAGTTGCGCGCAGCCAGTGGCATATTTCTTTAATGAATCTTGCTCAAAGACAAGACAACAACAAGCATAGAAACAGAAACAGTAAAATGTATACAACTAAATGCTAAGGAAAAGCTCAAATGGACGCCTGAGCGCGATGTTAACGGCAAAATCGACTGCGACGTTGACGCCGACGTCGACGTAGACAAGTCAACGTGCTGCATACGCCTGCCATCAACCTACGGCGCCTTAAGAAGCAGCAGCAGACAACAAGCGCGACAGAGAGGCCGACGCGCCAACGAACGATGTACGAAATAACGAAACAATAACAAACGCGCAAAACTTTCTCTGAGCGAGTAAAAATGTCCAACGAGAGCGTGCGAGTTAGCGAGAGTGTGAGTCTGCTAGGCAACAGACCCATTTAAAGAGAGAGACCAGAAAAAAAAAAATGAATTAAGAAAAAAGTGAACAAGTCAGCTTGAACTTGGGAGGCACGCGCGCGTGAACAAACACTAGCAAAGCGTGTCAGAATGATAACACACACACACACGCATACAGTAAAAAGCGTGCGTGCGTGCATATGCGAGTGTGTGAGAGAGAGGCCACTATAATATATGGCCCACAGGCGTCGAAAAACGAGCGCAAGCAGCGTAGCCGCCAGCGCATGCAGAGAGCACACTGAATAAATGTTTGCTTGTATTGCCGATTGAGCATGAAAATTGCAAAGATACTCGTGTGCAAGTGTTGCGTGTGTTTGTGTTGTGTGTGTGTGTGTGTGTGCACCGAGACGCCGCTGACGTCGGCAGATAAAAGACAGCGACCTGAACGTGAATTGTTGTTTTCTGCTGTTTGCTTCTACTAATGACAATGTTGAAAACAGCAGAAGACAGACTATGTTGGGCTTAGGATATTAAAGAAACAAAATGCATGAGTCAAAAGGAAAGAAAAAAAAAAAAAAAAACAAGATTATTGTAGCGAATGGCGTAAAAACGAGAGCGAAAAATGAAAACACAAATTGCGATGCTCAAAACGAAATATAAAATACGAAAATCAAAAAGGAAGAATATGGAACGCAACGAACTGTTGTTGCTGTTGCTATAGTCGTTTTTGTTGTTTTTGTTAGTGCTGGGGGCGACGCTCGTCGACGTTATCGGCGCTCGGCAGCCATTCGTGGTTTGGGGAATACCTTTTGCTTGCGTTGTTATTGTTGCGGCTGCTCTGCTCTGTCTGCGTGAGTGCAAGTGTGTGCGTTCGTGTGTGTATGTGAGGTGCAGTTATTTGGCCATGTTTTGCGTGTTTGTATTTGTGTGTGTTTGTGTGTGCGCAGTCTTTCGAATTCGGTTTTTTGTGCTGTTGTGCTTGACGCTCTCTTCTGCTTCTGCTGCTGCTGCTACTGCCTTTGGCCATTGATTTGTGCTTGCTACAACAGCGCAGCAGCAGCAACAGCAACTACGACAACTTGTTCCAAAGCTACAAAACTCGCAACGGAAGCCGCCAATGACGAGCCAAAGACACGACCCTAGCCAGTTTTTTTTCTTTCTTTCATTCGTAGTTTTTTCTTTCCCATTTTTGTTGTTATTTTTTTTATCGCTTAGGTTTTCTTTTATTCAGCGTCTTCTGCTTTGAGCTCTTCTCTCTTGTTTTGTTGCGCTTTGCTTTAAGCCTTTCGTTTTTTCTTATTCTTCTTTTTTGTTACAAGTGCAGCAGCAATGGAATGTTGTGCGGCATTTTGCAACACTGCCACAGACAGAGCCACACACAGTTACAGATGTTTTCACAGCTTTTTTCTGTGGTGCGACTAATGGAAATTATTGTGTGTGTGTATGTGTGTGGGTTTTGTAAACAAAACGTGGGAGTTGGGTTAGTTGAAATGCATACGTTTAAATACAGTAAGCAAGCGATATAACGAACTCTAATGTTGAGCAGAAGTAAAAACAGATTTAGTTTAATAAAATTTGTACTCTACATATAGTTATCTATAATGAATTGCGTTTTGTTTGGAAAATATGTAGTGTTCAAATATACATAATAAATTTATTTTATTGTTATTATTTTTATTTGATTTATTATGAGAATTACAAAAAAGTTGTTAGGGATGTTTATAGAAAATAATATTGTAATAGATAAAACAAATAAAAATGATGCATATTAAAAATACCAGCATACATGTATATTATATAAATTTTAATTTGTAAAATTATAATACAATTATAAAATTTTAAGAAACTTTCGCCACTATAAAACACACTTTCCCAGTACTTTGTTTAAATGATCTATTAAATTTAATTCGATGTGTAACGGTTTGAATCAGCTGTTTTTTTTTTTTTTTTTTTCCATGGTATAAGTACTTAGTTGGAGAAATGTTAATAGATTTTTGAGATAATTTCTTGGAGATAAGCTTTTAAATAGAACTGATGTTTCTGGGCAACTATTCAAAAGCAGCTGTCGCATTGCTAACAAAGGTCTAAACAGCTGTTCTGTTCTGGCCGAAATCAGAATGAGTTCAGCTTATCAAATAGCTCCTGTAACAGTTGCAGAGATAGAGGCAGCTACTTGAACAATGCAAACACTTGACCAACCTATCGATTGTGTCACATAATATACATATGTATGCGTGGCTGTGTTGGTGTTGTTGAGTATACTTAAATATGTTTGTATCTTTATCTCTATCTTCATGACGCTTATCTCTCTCGATACATATTATTTATTCTAATGAAGCAATCGATGATAATAATGATAATAAAACTTACCAACACTCATCCTCTCTCTTTCTCTGTCTCTCTCTCTTTACAGACTGATTTGTGTGGAATTAAATGGAGAAAGTTCGTTAATGGCGAACGTCCGAATGCGTCGAGCGATCCTTTGGACGATCCAATTCTGCGCTCCTATTCACGATGCATGCAGGCGGATATGTTGTGCGTGTGGCGGCGCGTGCAATCCACCAAGCAGGACAACTCCGATCCGAATGCCTTAAACTTTGAGATTACCACATCGACCACTGTGCACCCGCCCCTATCGCTTGCAGCTGCCAAGGAGCTGTGGATCTTCTGGTATGGCGAGGAGCCAGATCTGTCGGAGTTGGTCGATGCGGATCTACTTAAAATAGCGGGTAAGTCTAAGTCAAATGGAAATGAAACTTATAGAAAATATGTGAGACGAAGTACCTTTGATATTATATAGATATCTCCAATGAGCTCTTCATATTCCACTTCCAGTTAATGAAATTTCGCAACTTCCAACTCTCCTTTTCTGTGGTGAATTACATAAACAAAACTCACCATCATATTCTCTAACGGTTTTTGCTTTGATCATTAATCAGTCAGGCAGAACAGTTACATGAATATTTACAAATGTCTGTAAGAATGTATGTATGTATATGTACATATTTATGTGTGTCTGTTTATGGTAACACACATAAATAATGCAAAGCAATATGTTGAGAACGTCCGTTACATTATGAGCTTTTTATGAAATTTAATAAAACCTCAAGGCCACAGCGCGTGCAGCAGGCTAAAAATTTGTTGTACCCATGAGAAAACCAAAACAATACACACACATTTATATATACACACACATAGGCATGCATGCGCGCACTCGCGTATATCAAATCATATTGCGAATGTGTTTGTGCGTTGTATATGTATTTCTCCAACATTATTCACATGGCGCGTTGCTCGTCTGTCATCATCAGCAGCAGCAGCAGCAGCAGCAACGCCAGCAGAACAACGTAGTCTTCTCCTTCATCTTTCTCTCTCCCCCTCCCTTTGTTCGCCTACAACGCTGTGCGGTCAGCCCACGCGTTGAACGTCACCTGTGTCATTTGCAATGTTTTTGTTTCGTTGAATTCGCTCTCTGGTGTGGTGGGCGCGCTCACACACTCACACGCTCACACTCGCACTCTCCTACTCTCCTATTTGCTGACGCTCCATTAAGCTCTCTCACATTCCCGCTCTTTACATCTTTTCGCTCTCGCTTGCGCTCTCTTGGTATTCGCTACAGCCGCCTCGGCAGTTCTGCAGCTATGATTCGGGGGTTGGTTCCTTCGCAGTCAAAAACAATAACGGCCTCGGTTTGCTGCTGAGCTTCTGTTGGTGCTTTTGCTGCTTCTCTTGCTGTCGTTGTGTCGCCTCTTATCAGTAGTGCGGTGTGCGGCTACTATGTTTATTTAATTTTTGCCTCATGCTTACACACAGCCATCCAAATCGCTATCTGCAACCACAAATTATCAGGCTATCTCTTTAAACTTGCTGCCCGTCTCGCTCTAGTGGCAAATTCCATTCCCAAAACATACGTCAACGTTAAACGTTAAACTTAGTCGTAATGTAGTTAGCAGAGCAACCCACTTTTGATTGCTCGACGTCATATTGTCGGTCACTTGACTTTTACAGTTAGTTGTTGATATCTCGAAGTTGCCGCTGTTGTAGCGACGCCGGCGTACGAGATGAATGTGTGTGTGGTGAAATTGTTGTTGACCCCGACGCCGAGTGGAGAGTTGTTGTTGTTAATGTTGCTTTTTGTTTTTGTTGACAAGGACATTGACTAATTGCATTGACATTACATTGCCTCGACGTATGGGTGTGTGTGTGGGAATTCTCTTTTCTTTTTATAGCCTTTTACTTTGCCGCAAACAACAAACAAAAAAGATTCGAGTGTGAATGCACTTGTCTGTGTAAGTGTGAGTGAGTGAGCATGAATGAAGAGAGACGAGACTGAGACGCTTCGTCCGTCGTATGTACGTGCCTGCTGCTGCCCAGTGAAAAGTGGCAACGTAGCGCTGCTGATATTGTTGTACTTAGTTGATGTTGTTGTTCAACTTACCAAAGCTTTTGTTGTTTTCGGGCCGCATAAAAACAGACGTCACTACATTCATTGTACACACATGGTCAGCGCCTCTATATTGAGTGCCTCGCTGAGAGAGTTTCTTCTTTTTGCGTTTGAGGATTTGTTTATAAAAAAGATTTGTTTTATCTAGAAGAATATCGACGTTGGCAGTGCTTTGACTTTTGGACTGCAAATCGATAAACATGATTTGATAATATCGATAAGCGTGTCGCTACTTGTTGTCATTGCTATTTTCTGCTGTTGTTTTTGTTGCCGTTCAGTTTACCCTAAACAGCTGTCACATTGCTGCGGCTGCTGTTTTTACATTCTATGTGTGTGCGTGTGTGTATGTTTATTTCTCTCTTATGCTTGCGTTATTCGTGTGAGCGCGTTCTACAATTGGGGCTAATAATTATGAGCTCACAGTATTTATGCATGTATGCGTGTGTATGTGTGTGAGTGATTGTGCGCTCTTGTCGTTGGTTCTCTTTTGTGCGCGTTTTTAAACTGGTTTTTAAGCTTAATTACAATGCGCTTTGTTGTTGTTGCTGCTATTGTTGCAAGATTTTGCATTCTCTCCGTTTACTTACTGTTTCTGCCTGTTGTTGTTGTTGCTGTTGCTGTTGTACTTAACCAATTTTCAATGTGTGTGCTCACTCACATATGTAGATTATTGACCTTGATTAATAATGCAACTATACAAACAACAACAATTACATATCAAAAATATTTGCCCCGCCTGCTGCTTGTTGCACGATTCACACACGCAATCTTTCCAACAAAGCTCTCATAAAATTGATTGTGAAATTGGCGTACGCTAGTAGAATCGTATCAAGGCACTGTAATTATCCACACAAATGCAAACACACAAACACACGCACACGCACACAGTGATTCGCACGCTTGTCATAGTTGGCCCGTTTGCACGTCATTTTCATTCGCTTTTGCTGTGGTAGCAAATTTTTAACCTAAAATAGCGTTTCAAGCACAAACAACAACAACACTGCGAAAGGCTCTCTTCTTCGTTAAGTGTGTGAGAGTGTGTGTGTGTGGGAGAGTGAACGAGTGCATGCCTTCAAAACTAGCGGCACTTTTGCCCAAACACAGTCTCGTTCGCTTACTCACTCACTCTTTCACTCACTCACTCACTCAGCAACAGCGAATGTTTGCGCATATCTAGTACATGTTCACAGATACAGACATAAGACTACTGTTTCGGACTCCTCTCACCCGCTCTCTTGGCGCTCTTCATAGCTATCTCTGTCGCGCTGCGTGAGTCGCTGTCGGCAGCAACATGTGCACAAACCACACGTGCTACAAAAAATACAAAAATACACAGATACATAGTATGTCTGCCTCTGCCTCTGTATGTGTGTGTGTACTTGGAATTTGCATTGAGCAGCCGTCGTCATATTCCTGTTATGGCCGGGAATGAGTTTCGTGGTTGCCTGCAGACGAAGACCCACGAGCGGCGGGTCGGCAATTTTAATTTTGTATTGTGGATTTGTAGGTTTTGGGGAATTTCGTTTTATGTTTTGCAGTTTGTTTGCTGCTGTCCGGTTATGCTTCAATTGGATGAGATAAAAAAGCTGCAGCATATTTTTTTTTTCTTAGCTCCCCCTCACTCTTACAGTCGCGCTAGCTGGCGCTCTATAGTTTTGAGCTTTTAATATTTTACTGTGTCTGTTTTTCGGTTTGACCCCGGCTGGGCCAAACTAGCATGTAAATACATACATACACACTCACACACACACTCATACATAATCGTACATTGCCCTCTGGTAAAAATTTTACGCTGATCTCATTGAAAGAAGGTACACATACCCACACATGCAAACAATGAAATCCACAAGCAGGCTTGTAATAGCTGTGGAAACAAAAACAACAGCAACAGCAACAAAACTACCAACAGCATAAATTTCCAAAGCCCAGCCTAAGCCGCTGCCTCAGTCCGCTGCATTGTTTTTGCTGTCGGCGCGACGCGACGTCGGTACTCGCTGCTTTTCGTACACAGTTTACACTCACTCTCTCACGCTCACGCTCAGCTCACTCGCCGGCCTCCTGCCATGCCACTCTTTGAGTTTTGAGTGCGAGCGCGAGTATTAGTGTGAGTGGGTCGCGCTGCTCGCTCTTTTCTTTAGGTTGTGTTTTGTTATTTATAATGTTGTTTACCTTTACGTAATTATCTTTGCAACATTTGTTGGTGTTGCCTTGTCTGCGCCTCTGGCTGGCCTCTTTTGGTTATTCTTTTTTTCTTATCTTTTTCTATCTTGTGTGTGTGTGTGCGTGGAGTTTATTTTTTATTATTGTTTAGTGCAGAGGGTGGACCGGCGTTGATGCTGCGCTGTGTAAATGACGTTGACGCCGCAGTCGACAGTCGCTGCTGCTGCTGTGTGTGTAGGTGTCAGCGCGAATATGGATGTGTGTGTGCGTATGTGTGTATATGTATTTGAGATGCTTGGAATTTTCCAAAAACAAAAAAATCTCGACTATTCCCCCACTCCCGCTCATTCGTAGCCGCATTGTAAATAGGCGACTTGTCGACTCGACTCTCCGTACCGTTTGATTTTGATTTTCAGTTTTTTTTTTGTGTGTTTGTGTTTTGTTTTAAGTGGCATTTTGTTTGCGCTTCCGCTTTTGATTTGCCTGCCTGTCTACTACCTTCTGCTGGCTGCGTTTTGGGCCTGCTGGGGACCGTTTTGTTGCTTCTTCATGTTTTTCATGTTTTCTTTCCCCTTTTTGCTGCATTTACATACAAAATTCTCGTAATTTCTTGTCGCTATGCAATAGCTGTGAATACCACTTGCTCTGTCTCTGTCTTTCTCTCGCTCACTTACGGCCTCTCTTTAGAGAGAAAGAGTTGTTTTTGTCATTGGGCTGCGCGCGCGTCGCACAACAATAACAAATTAAGAATTGCTTTTACAACAAATGCTCAAAGCGCGCGACGCTCAAATTTTTGGTGCTTGAATTGTTTTGCGTTATTATATTGTCACACACAAACACACACATTCATACTTATATGGCGAATTATTTGTTTGTAAATAGCAAAGCTACGCGCGCGGTAATTTTCCGCCTTTCGAATATGTTCCACAAACTAAAATCAGAAAGTGGAACGCAATATGTAAATAAACTTGTTTGCCTTAGAGAAATGGAAGTTGGCAGGAATGGGATATTGACTTTACAGTGTTGAAACCCACTTTAAAGAGATAGATTTTAGAAATTGCAACCAATTTGTACAAATAAAATACAATTTTTCTCTTAATTTTGATTTTTTTCTGTATTTCTTTCCATTTCCAGCCAATCAATCGCTCTGGAATGGCACCTGGAAGGGCGAGCTGACCTACGAGTGCCGCTCGCTGCTCTTCAAGGCACTGCACAATCTCATGGAAAGGTAAGTGAAACTATATTGGAAATACTCTGGAAGATTTGAAAACTAATTTGCCTTTGTCTCCTCTCAGATTCGTGCTCACCAAGGACATTGTGCGCTTCGGCAAATGGTTCGTGCAGCCCTGCACTTCCAGCGATCGTCTCTTTGGGCGCAGGTGAGGGATCCAATCATAAATATTCAACGAAAAAGGGGATGAAATGTTTCACAGAAACAGTTTTGATTGTTGTGTATTCCATTGGAACTGCAGGCATTCATCCCAGAGTAAACTATTTCCAGACTGGAACTCTGTGCGACTACATTGAAGCTTATGCAGTCGCATCGTTCTTCCAGCTACATTCCAGACTTGATTTTAAAAGAGGATTTTAAGAGAATTTCACTAATGCCATCCCTCTCTATCTCTTGTAGCTCGCAGCATTTGTCATTTTCCTTTACGTTCTTCGTGCACGGTGACACGGTCTGCGCGTCAATCGATCTGCGCGAGCATCCTGCGGTGCGTCCTTTGACCAAGGAGCACTTAGCCGAGGCAGCGGCTGCATTTGCTGCTGCCAGTGGAGGCGGAGCAGCAGGAGCACGTGGCCAGGATGCAAACGGAACAGCTCAACTGCCGGCGAATTCACCACTGTTGGATACGGCAACTGGAAATGGAACTGGCGAGAAGTCGGCGGCGACGTCGACAGCGACGCCAACGCAGGCGCGCAAGGTAATGCTGGCGCCCTTTGGCATTGCGGCAATACTCACGGGGAATAGCTACAAGGCGAGCGATCCAATGGCCGAAAAGATACTCGAGGACTGGGCCTCGTTCTTTCCGCTGTGCAATAAGGACAACACGGATGTGCCGCCCGTCGTGGAGGTGGTATCGGGTGAGTTGGAAATACACTCATATATATGTACATATATTAACTTATAATTAATCTGATATGCTTTGGCCAGGTGGACATAAGATGTACCATCCCACAAATTACGTACTAGTCACGGATCTGGATGACATGGAAGAAATGGAATTCGCTGAGCTGCACGGCAAAGTAAACGGCGCAAGCAGTGAGCCACAGACAGCAGCAGCAGCAGCAACAGGAACGGGAACGGGAGCGGGAGCGACGCAGGCAGCGGCAGCACAAGCGCTGCCAATGGCGGCGTCAGCAGCGGCGTTAGCAGCCGCCAAGGAATCGCGTAAGGCGGCAACGCAAGCGGTCAGCGCTCTGGAACGCCTAACGTTTCAGCCCTACTACGATCAGCGGCCCACATCGGGCTTCACCTTCAATACCAATAATACTCATATACCCCCATCGGCGGCCATTGAAATGCCGGAACGTGCCTGGCAGGATTGCATAATGAACACGTTGCATGTGGACGCAGCGGCAGCGGCGGCGGCAGCAGCCGCATCAGCCGACGAGGAGGAGAGCAAGCAAACGGATTCCAAGCAGCTGGTGCAGCAGCAAATCCAACAACAGCAGCAGAAGCAACGCCAAAAGTTGTGGAACTTTGTGGATCCCATGCAAAAGGCGCCCTGCATATGCACCAAGTAAGTTCGTCTCGCTCTCTTTCTAAAACTAACTCACCACTTGTTACGCTCTCTTTCTCTCTTTTGAACTGTTACTGTTACTATTACTCCTGTTCCACTCGTACTACTTAAGCTCTTTTGCGCTCTCTCCATCTGCACATTGCGTGGAGTGTTTTGCATTGTTTTTTTTTCTTCTTTCGTTTACGTTTTCATTTTCGGAGTATGTGCGAAATTGTTAGTAGAGAGATTTGTTAAGAATCATACAAGTATATATTAATATAAATATAAACATACAAATGTAATGCAGATAAAACGCTTCAAAGGCATGTTTAGAAGAACACAGAAATTCCCCATTGATATATATATAATAATAGTAATATCAAAATAGTTATTTGTGTGTGTGTGTGTTTATCGATCAACGTTGCATGTGTTGTCGATATTAATACGCTTACTGCTAAAAATCGTTATAAATATAAATATATGAGAGAAATCTAATAGAAAGGTGCAAAAATCGTACTGAGAGTCACCGCAGAAGCGTTAAAGCTCGCGAGAGTTGAGTTTAAAGTTTAACACAAAAACCCACCAAATTTCAGCGCACAATGCAGCAGCAGCGGCAACGGCAGCAGCAGCACTGTCAGCATTGGCAGCGGCAAACGCCAGCATAGCAGCAGCAGCGGCAGTAGCAGCAGCAGTAGCAGCATTGGCTCGCCAGCGCTGCGAGCTGCGATCGGTGTCGCTAGCAGCAGCAGCAAGTCAACGTTTCAGCTACTCCAACAACATCAGCATCATCAACGGGCGGCTCATCATTCCAGTTCCAGTGTTGGTTACTTGAACAGCAATTGCAGTTCCTCTTACTCCTCTACCCACTACTCCTCCTACGCTGCTGTCGGCCTCAAGCGACAAATTGTGCCGTTTCATCAGCGTTCTCTACTTAATACTCAGACAGCGCTTAAACCTAACTACAACAACAACACTACTTCCTCTACAACAACAACAACAGACACCAATATACCAAAACAAAGGTTTGTGTCGCTGTTCAGACGTGTGTGTGTGTGCGTGAGTGTGTGTGTATGTGTATTGCCAAATCTCTTTATTTTCCATGGTTGATTTTAACTGTTAATACGCTCTGTATATATTTTATTTCACATACTCACAGACACACACACAGACGTTCTCTTAAGTTGTTTATATTCTGTTAACTTCCATGCGCTCTCTTTCTCGTTCTCCTCCTATCTGATCATCAAGACAACAGCAACACGCTCTGTTAACTTTTTAACATCAATTTTGTTTATGAATTTTTTGGTTGTTTGGTTTTATTTTTCAATTATTTATTTACCTTTTTCTTTTTATGCTAAATTAACTTAAAATTCAAATACATATGTACACACACACACACAAAAGCATATAAATTCGTACATTTTTGACCCTTGTTGGCATATTCACCATTTAACAAATAACAATTGGATTTATTTTTTTTGCTGAACTTTGTGGTAAATGGGGTAGCTAAAAGAATAACAGCAGCAAAGTAATAAACAAATAAAGACACACACACACATACATACATGCATACACACCGTTAACAAAGTTACAGTTACATATTTGGCATTCGAGTTGTCAGCGATAATTCGAAAATTCGGCAAACGGCCAATTGTTATCGATGCTCTCTCCTTCCGTTGCATGTGCGCTCTATCGATTGCAGCTGCCTGTAGAGCCGTTGCAATTACACGCACACTTACAAACAGACACGTTATCATCTCTACATACATATACATATATGACTGTAAATAACAAATATGTAAATAAGTAGCAGCTGCAATGTTGTTTTATATTGTTTTTTGTTAATTTAATATATTATTTTGGTTGGAAATGCGCTCGCTCTTGCTCTCTTTTTTTCTCTCTTGGATGTGGTGTTTACCTATATATTGTTTGCTTACCAATATCAAAGTTCGTTATCGATTAATAACGAATTACGATTTAGTGTGAAGTTATTAATTCGTAGTTTTTTTGATTTATCTAGTTTATATATTGTATATAACGGAACAAGCATGTTGCGCCTGGCTGAGCCAACAATTTTTAATTAATTATAGTAAATTAACTTATAAGCATTAAAAGATAAATTTACAAATATTTAATTCTCATTCTTGTATATTTCCCCCTTTTTCTTTATTTTATTAACATTTAGACATCTCAGCAACGCTTCAGGAGGCGGCGGTGGCAGCAGTGCCACGCCCTGCCATGGAGGAGCCGCAGCGGGCAGCGCTTCAACTTATTCACGCAACTCAGTGGGCGATTCATCATCGATGCCACCGATTGCCTCCTCCTCGGTGGGTTCACCCGCAACGCCAGCTCCATCACCACATCCGCTTTCCAATTCGGCGCACTCGCAGCCCACATCGGTGCCGCCCGCCGCTGAGCAAGTGAGTCCAAGTGACGAACGATTCACAATTTGAATAGAATACTCTTGAAATTTCGTTCATTGCTAATTCACGTTCTTCTTCCACCACTGCAGCTGCTCAACATGAGTCCACATGCGCCCACATCAGTATCGAATCTTCAGCAACCGCCTACGCCCATCGATCATCTGCTGGACAAGAATACGCCAGCGCCCACGCCCACGGATCAGCATGATAGTAAGAGCATAACTGCCTCGCCCTATGTACATCAAACACCGAGTGTGGAGCCTCCCACTTACGCGGACCACGGGTCACAGGGCGGTGCACCTGCCACTCTAAATGCGCCCGGCAGTGTGCCCCAGCAGCAGCCTGCGACGCCAACAGCAGGCGGAGCAGCAGCTGGAGCAGCAGCAGGAGCGGGAACGGCTACGGGAGCGGGCACAGGAGCTGGAGCAGCGGTAGGAGCAGCAACAGCTGCACCTGCATCTGGCGCGCAATGTGGCACGATTAGCGTTAAGAAGCTGGAGATGCAGCAGCAGCAGCCGACGATTAAACAGGAGCCGGGCACAGGGCGCGGCAGTCAACAACTGCCGCCCCAGCAACAGCAACAACAGCAACAGCAGCAGTCGCAAAAACAACAACAGCAGCAGCCGCAGCAGCAGCAACAGCAGCAGTCGATGGCAACCAGCACCATGGAAGCTGTCACCAATCTCTTTAACCTGTACAAACCGCCACAGCTGACGCTCAAGGATGGCGACAGCGTCTACGACGAGGAATGGCTTACAGAGGTCTACGATTTCAGCTATCAAGAGTCCTGGTAGGTGCAATGTCGCCCATTACTTTAGCTATAACTAATCCGTGCCCCACTTCTTAAACAGGGACAATCTGCCCGTCAAGCGACCCAAGCTGAATGAATCGGTCAAGCTGCGACGTCCGCGCTATGCCAAGAATCTGTACGAGGGGCACACGCACTTCAAGCCACTGATGCCCTCACCGGGATCTGTCTACGGCTCGTTGCTCACCATTGAGGGCGGCTCTGTGGCAGCACTCGGAGCTGCGAGCGAGAGTGGGAAGGCAGCAGGAGGCGCAGGCGGTGGACTGGTGGGCATAGCCACGAATGCAGGCTTTGGCAATGCAGCTGGCGCAGATGAGGCGGACAATGCGCTCGTCAAGAGTGAAGCTCCATCGGCAGCGGGCGACGGAAGCAGCTTCTTCCCCTGTCTGGACATCAAGACGGAGCCAGGCTTGCACTCGCCCTGCAAGGAAACCAAATCCACCAGCACTGCGGGCAGCGGCGGTGGCAATCTGTTCACAGCGGAGGGCCTGAATCCCTCGCTCAACGACCTGGAGCAGCTGTTCGAGACGAGCTCGAATGACGAGTGCAGCAGCGTGCAGATTCACACGCCGCCCGACTCCAACAATCCCTCGAATGGCGGCTGCAGCGCTGTCACCAACACCATCGACGAGCTGAAGCGCAGCACCGCCGTGACGAGCGCTGTGGTGGCCGCTGTCGTCGCCAGCAGTGGTGCGGGCAGCATTCAAGCCGAAGACCTAACCAAAATGTTTCCCACGCCGCCCTCGCATGAGCAGCAGCATCTCAACCTGAGTCCCTGTCAAACGGACGTTGTCATGACCGATCTGAGTGTGGATACGACGACGACAACAACAAGCAGCGTGCTGGTGGTGCCGGCGGCAACAATCACAACGGCGGCGGCAACAGTTGCAGCAACAGCTACGTCAGTCGGCCTCGGAGTCATGCTGAAGATGGTCAAGCAGGAATACAGCGTGGAGCTGGGCAGTCCCGTTGAGGAGCCCATTGATGACTGGAGCTATGTCTATAGGCCGCCGCAGCAGGAGAAGTTCGTTGGCTCCTCGCGCTATGCACCGCTCACCAATCTGCCCAGCCAGACGCTGCCGCCTCTGCAGCTGCCCGCCAATTGCTTCTACAATCCCACCTGGAGCCACAGCCAAAAGTCGCGCGCTGCGACGCTGGCGAAGGCGGCCGCTGCACAGCAGCAACAGCAGCAGCACCAGAAGCATCAGCAGCTGCAGCAGCGCATCCAGCAGCATCAGCAAATGCAGCAGCAACACCAGCAACAACAGCAGCAGCAACAGCAACACCAGCAGCAGCAACAGCAGCAGCACAAACAGCTGCACGACCTGCTTTCGGCTGGTCCTCGAACTCCGATGAATGCAGCGATGCCCTCGCCCTCAACAGTTCCACAGCCGTTGAGCAGCGGCGGCAGTCAATTGCTGCTGAATCAACTCAACTGTCCGCAGGCGCCGCCCGGCAGTTCGATGCAGCAGCTGATGCAGCGGGCGGGCATGTCGCCCATTCCCTCACCTGGCGGCCCAGGAGTGGTGCCATTTCCGCGCAGCAGTCCCATGCAGCAGCATCATCCGATGCGACAGACGCCCACGCATCCGCCTCCTCCGTATCCGTATGAGCTGGCTGCTGCTAGTCCGGCCACGTCCACATCCTCGTCGTACCTTAACAAGCCGTACGGCTCTCAGGAGCCGCCAGGACATCCGCATACGCCTCACCACGTGTACGGCTCGATGAGCGGAGGAGCCGCAGGCGGAGCTGCTCTCATGTCGGGCGATTCCAAGCTGGCCATGATGCAGTATACGGGCGGCAGTGCACCGGAATCGGGAACGGCTGCAGCAGCAGCTGCTGCTGTGAGCCTGCTGCAGGAGCTGCCGGAAGTGAACTCTGTGCTGGTAAACATCCTGCTCTACGACACGGCACTGAATGTCTTCCGGGATCACAATTTCGACAGCAGCAGCGTTTGCGTCTGCAATGCGGATACGCAGAAGATCGGGAATATACGTGGCGCGGATTCGGGAGTCTATGTGCCGCTGCCGGGCAGCAGCTTCAATCCCTTTCCAGCTCAACGAGGCTCGAGTGGAGCAGGAGGAGGTGGAGCTGGTGCTGTCACGCCTTATAATCAGTATGCAGGAGCAGGAGCTGGAGCTGGTGGTCTACGCATGTTGAGTGCCTTTGGCGGTGGGCTGGACTCGTCGCCAGTGGCTGCTGCTTTGTCCGGAGCTGGCTCCGTGCATGGCCATGGCCATGGACCCAATGGTGGCTCCAGCGGCTCCGCATCCTGTACACCGCCCAGCAGTAATCCCCACATAACAGGCTACGTCGACGACGATCCCGTGGAGTGCACGTGCGGCTTCAGCGCTGTGGTCAATCGGCGACTATCGCATCGGGCCGGTCTCTTCTACGAGGATGAGCTGGAGATCACGGGCATTGTGGACGATCCGGCGAGGAATAAACAGCCCACTCTACTAGCGCTCATCCAGTCGCTGTGCCGCAAGGGCGCCAACAACAACAACAATAATAATAACAACAACAATAACAACAGCAAGGATGCCTCCTCTGGCAAGGAGCTGGAGAAGCTGACGAACACAACGCAGCAGCAGCTGGAGCAGCTGGCGCATGCCATATTCGATCTGCTGCTAGACCAGTGCTCCATCATACAAAGCTCCAGCAGCTCGGTGCATCGAGCACTGCAGGCGCACCGTCGCAGGATGTCGAGGCAACGTCGCCTGGGCGCCTCGGTGGCCAGCATTGCGAATGTCCTGGAGTTCACGGATGCCCACGATGTGGTCAGCTTGGCGCTGGAGCAGGCGCGTCTTGCGTTCGAGAACCATCGCCTGGACATGAATCTCCTCGAGTTCGGACATGGACATGGCCAGCATGGCAGCCAACAGAATCATCCGCAACATCCAAACCAGCCCCATCACCCGCACCAGCAACAACAACAGTCGCAGCAGCAACTCATGGCCTTCCAGGCGGCGCCCGCTCTTCGCCAGAAACTGTTGAGCCTGGGCAGCAGTCGTCTGACGGTACACAAGTGGCCCTATCTTCCAGTGGGCTTCACCCGCAGCAACAAGGAGATCGTCCGGACGATGAATGCCATCCAACCCATGCTGCAAAGCGCCTTCCACTGCAAGTCGCGAGGCGGTGCAGCGGGCTCCAAGGATGCCAGCTCCTACAATACGGTCAGCGGTCCCTTGACCTGGCGGCAATTTCACCGCCTCGCCGGACGAGCCTCTGGACAGTGTGAACCACAGCCCATACCTTCGGTTGTGGTTGGCTACGAAAAGGATTGGATATCAGTGGCACCACATTCCATTCACTACTGGGATAAGTTTCTGCTGGAGCCCTATTCCTATGCACGGGACGTGGTCTACGTCGTCATTTGTCCGGACAATGATCATGTCGTCGCGAGCACTCGCACCTATTTCCGTGAGCTGAGCAGCACGTATGAGATGTGCAAGCTGGGTCGCCATACGCCCATCCGTGGCTGGGACGGCATCCTCCAGGTGGGTGTATCCGAAAGAGATGTCACGACCCCGCTAGACGATTGGCTACGTACGTTGGACCATGCGCCGCTGGCGGAGCAGATTAGGCGTTACGCCATTGCCTTTATGCATCAGCTGGCGCCTTATCTGAGTCGCGTGCCTGGTGATAAGACACTGCTCAATCCGCCAGATCCTAGTGGCAGTCATTCCACAAAAGCTGGTGTAACTCAGCCCCCAACAGCTGCAGAGCATCCGGAGCAGCCGGTCATCAAGCAGGAGCCGGGCACCGAGCAGCAACAGCAGCAGCAGCAGCAGCAACAACAATCGGGCGCAACCCAGACGAGCAACAATCAGGAGCAGGACAGCAAGGCGGATGTTAAGGGAGGCGCAGCTGGAGGCGATACTAAGCCAGCACTGGTGCTGGGCGATCCACTTGGCATGGGCGAAACCTTGGAGGACATTAATCCTTCAGCCATTGTGCTGTATGTGGTGAATCCCTTCACCTTTGCCTCCGACAGCTTCGAGCTGGAGCGGCTTGCATTGATTGCGCTGCTCCGTTGCTATGCGGAGCTCTTAAAGGTGGTGCCAGACTCGGTCCGTGCGCAGATGAACATCCAGATCATCTCGCTGGAGTCCATTATGGAGCTAGGACCCTGTGGCAACCGTCGTCGCTTCTCGGACGAGATCAAGTGCTTGGCGCTCAACATATTCTCGCAGTGCCGAAGGCATCTGGTGCATGCGCAGCCCGTGAAGAGTCTGACGGGCTTTGGCACGGCGGCCAACATGGAGGCGTTTCTCAAGACCAAGGATGAGCCGAATCGACGCCCCTACAAGATGTACACCGCTCCATTTGTGCTGGCGCCCATGCACGAGCGGAACGACAAGACGGACTTCTCCCGTGCGGCGGGCAGCATGCATGGCCAGAATGAGACGCGCTACTCAGTGATGTATTGCAATTATTGCCTGAGCGAGGATCAGTCCTGGCTGCTGGCCACCGCGACGGATGAGCGAGGCGAACTGCTGGAGAAGGTGTGCATCAACATCGATGTGCCCAACCGTGCCAGAAGAAGAAAGGCTCCCGCACGCTATGTGGCGCTGCGTAAGCTCATGGACTTCGTCATGGGCCTCATCTCGCAGACGTCGCAAATGTGGCGACTGGTCATCGGAAGAATCGGCCGGATTGGTCACAGCGAGCTCAAGTCCTGGAGCTATCTGCTCAGCAAGCAGCAGCTGCAGAAGGCCTCCAAGCAGTTCAAGGACATGTGCAAGCAGTGCACACTCATGTATCCGCCTACCATTCTAAGTGCTTGCCTGGTCACCCTAGAGCCAGATGCCAAGCTTCGCGTGATGCCCGATCAGTTCACGCCCGATGAGCGCTTCTCCCAGATCTCCATGCAGAACCCGTTGTCGACGCCGCAGGATGTCACCTGTACGCATATCCTGGTCTTTCCCACCAGTGCGGTCTGTGCGGTAAGTAATGTTAGCGATTATCGGTTATCGATTATCGATTGTCTATTAAACAATACTAACCTGACTTTCTTCGTTAATATTGCAGTCCTTCACACGCCAATTCCAGAACGAGCCTCAGGTGGACGATGACTTCATCTTTGGTGAGGAGGAGGGCAACGAGGACTTCAGCGATGCGGACATTGGCGATCTTTTCTGGGATTGTGAGTATTGTTTGGAATCGATAGATTCTTGTTTGGTGACTTGTCTCACGCATGTTCCTCTTGCACAGCAGCTCACATGGATCGCGTCTCGAATCACGGCAGTCCAGGACGCATGGAGGACAACCGCAGCTGGCAAAGCGCTGGAGGCAACAATTTCAAATGCACGCCACCGCAGGAGGTCGAGGAGGTATTGTGGATTGCGTTTAGTTATATGATTGAATCTTTGATTAACATTCGATTTGTCTTTCAGGTGGGCTCCCTCAACCAGCAGCCCATTTCGGTGGGTTACATGGTATCGACAGCGCCTACGGGCCGGATGCCCGCCTGGTTCTGGTCCGCCTGTCCGCACCTGGAGGATGTGTGTCCCGTCTTCCTAAAGACCGCGCTGCATTTGCATGTGCCTAATATACAGATAGCCGATGATATACTCAACTCGACCAATGCTCATCAATCGGCCAATGATCATCCGTTGGACTCGACATTAACAGCCGACGTGCTACGCTTTGTGCTGGAAGGATACAATGCGTTGTCCTGGCTGGCACTCGATTCCAATACGCACGATCGTCTGTCCTGTCTGCCCATCAATGTGCAAACGCTAATGGACTTGTATTATCTAACGGCGGCCATAGCATAGAGCAAAATATCTGAAATAACAGACCATTAACATTAGCAGTAGCCGTAACAGTAACAGTAACAGTCGATTGCTTCCGTTTGCTGTACTTCCATTAACATAGCGAACTATCCAAAACAGTAACAAAAGAAAACAAAGCAACTACCAGCCAGTTAACAGTCCAAATGAAAATAATGATATACCAGTAACAGCAGAAGTAAACGTAACAGCAATGTTAACAGAAACTGTAACAGCAGCGCACAGTTAGCGTTAAACACAGAGCCTTGTAATTAAAGCCGCCGCCGCAGCAGCCTTACAGCCTACCCAAAGGATGTGCAACAAAGACAAGAAAGTTGATTGATGATGAGATGATGAGAAGGAGCAAGAGAGAGAGAGAGAGAGAGAGAGAGAGAGAGAGAGAGAGAGAGAGAGAGATGATGATGAGAGATAGAGAAGAGTAGCGAAAACAGCATTACTATTTATTAATTGAAAATTGTGTATAGTGCAAGAATTGTTTTTTATTAGGCTGGCGTTCGTTTTAGTGTTTAATATTTATACATATACAACAACAAAGAGGATGAAGTAGAAGAAGCAAAACAAAACAACAAAAAACCACACATAGGGGCATATTTATATATATTATATACATAGATCATATACAATACGCAAGATTTAAAACAAAAAAACAAAATATTTAGTAAGTAAGCTAAAAAGAAATTTGTACATATTTACAACCAATTCACCGTAAGCACTAAGAACAACAACAATAATTATAAAAACAAACCGAAAAATTATAATTATACAACAAAAAGTAGCTTACAACAAATGAGAAAATACCTAATTAAAACTAAATTAAATTAATAAATTGTAAATTTTTTGTGCAAAGCGAGAATTAGTTTAAATTATTATAATGAAATAAAAACAATTTAATGTTAAAGCGAAAAATCACACTCCCACACACACACACACGGACATAGGCAGGCAAACACACACACAGACACATTTTCGTATACTGTGCATGCTTATATAACAGTTATACACACACACACATACATATATTTGGACGCAAAGCGCAGTTGCTGGTTAGCAGAAAGAAGGGAAATTTATGAATGGGGTTTAAGTGGGGGGAATGGGGGATATACGGTATAAGGGTTTTAAGTCAATAAGTAGTTTTTTGAGGTTAGGAACTGTTTTATACAAAGAGAAAGGGGAAAATGTTTTGTTTTTTATACATCGCACACTCACACACACCCACACACCTGCAGAGATACACACACACACACAAACAAATACACACTCACATAGCCAATTGTTTAATAATGAATTACTTAAAAAGAAATTGTGTACAAATTAACATAAATATGTTTATATAGACAAAAAAGCTTTCTTCAACTAACACACACATACACACTCTCACTTACAAATAAAACAAATTGATTTTGCACTTTAAAAAATGAAAGATTTTCGCTAGGCTTAAGTTTACATTAAATGAAAAAAAAAAAAAAACAATTATTAAACAATGAAATTAATTTTACCTGTGTATTTTAATTAGCATAATTTAATAACAAAGCGAAACAACAAACAAATCTACATTTACAAAGACGTTTTCTAGTATATACCACACACATATAGACACACACACACACGCTTTACTTTTAAGTAGTTTGGTTTTTTTTACGTTTAGTATTCGATTTTTTTTCGTGTATAATAAAACATGAATTATTTGCAATTACTTTTGTTTGGGTCATTTCTTTTGTTTTTTTTTTGCAATAAACAATTTACTAAGAGTAAGTCAGTAACAGTATTTCTGTTACTTAAGTAGCGCGGCGATTTTTCATATATAAAAAACATATAACCAAACACGCTTCCAATAATTTCCAAAAAACAGTAGAAAATGAAAAAAAGAAAACATTTCCTAGCTAAGGGTTTCAGTTCGCCACTCAACTCAACTCAACTCAACACATTTGTTCACCACGCTGTGTGGTGAGTTCGTCAGCTCGTCTGACGAAGGCTAACGACATACACATATGCATAATACATATACATAGCAATAATTGTAACTGTAATGCACACAGACACACTTGAAGAAACACACACATATGTATATATAGAGCAACAATTGACAACAAGCATTCATAAATAAATATATATAAAACAAAAAACAAAAAAGAAGAAAAATATATATATGAATAAAAACCAAACAATGGTGGGAACAGAATTTTTTAAAAACAAACTCAACTCAGTTTAAGAGTTGAATTTTCTAAGAAAACACAAAGAAAATGAAATGAAAAACAAAAGAAAATTTGACAAATTTGTAAAGTTAGTTAAGGCTTGAATAAATAAATATATATAAACATTACATAAGTGCATTAAGCGAAGGAAAGAGACATAGAAAGAGAGAGAGAGAGAGAGAGAGAGAGAGAAAGAAGGAAAGAAAGAGCGAAAACCATTTACTAGCCCAGCCCCTAGCCTAAAAGTATGCAATTATTAATTTAAAAATTTGTTAAGGTTAGCCTCGAGGTTAGTTTTACGGCAAACACATACACACACACACACATATACACATGCACATGCATTTCAGTGTAGGCATGTATGTGTGTACATAGGCCAAATTTCGATTGCAAATTCAAGAAAACACAAACGTGACAAAATTTGAAAAGAAACAAAAAAATTGAAAAAAGAAAAACAATTGCAATTTGTTTCTAAAACAAAACGCCATGCATTCATTATATAGTATATACACATCTATATATACATATACATAATTAGGAAATGTATGTCAGAAAGAAAAAAAAAACAAAAAAAAAGAACTAAGAAAGAAAAATTAGCTACAGAATTGCATATTATATATACAATTATAATAATTATATATACAAGCAAATATATATTGGGCAAACGAAACAAAATGTAAAACAAAGAAAACAAACAAAATGTTGTTGTAGTCAAATTACAAATTAAGTTTTGTTTTTGCTACCGCGTGAGTCAAACAGAGAAAGAGAAAAAAAAAACTAAAACTAAAAAAAAAAATAGCAAAAGATCGAGTCAAATTTTAAATGTGCAAAAAAAGCAAAAACCACAAAAAAAAACAAACAATTTTTTGCAAGTTCTTTATAATTAATAACGGTTTTTTGGCGTGCAGACAGAGAACAGAAGAAACACACATTTTTCCAATAAACAGTAACAAAAAAAAAAAAAAAAAAAAAAAAAAAAAAAAAAATTGAAATGATTGAAAAATGAAAATGTTTGGTTTTATATTGTGAACAAAAATAGTGGGAAATTGGATACAGTGAAAAGCTATTGTTGTGTTGAGTGGAATATTTTGATGTTATTCGGAAAACTTGCTAAATAAACTCTTGATTGATAAACGACTCAGTCATATTCTGCGTCCTGCTGGGAAGCGTCTTGATGCTGTTCAGTTGGCTGAAAGAGCTCGGCTAGCATGCTCAAGAATTCCTGCCCCTCGGCGTGGGTGCTGTTCAGCCAAATCTGCACCAGCATTTTGGCCTCGTCAATGCTGGCCACATTTTTGAGGTGGCCTGAAAGTGAAAGTGGAAGAACGTCGCGTAACAGAGGTGGGAAAATGTTGGGGCGAGTGCTGCCACTTACGTATGACCATTTCCAAGGCCTCCCATTCGAGGTTGTAGCGCTCTGTTAGGAATCTCAGCAGTTCCAGCATGTTGCCAGCAGCCAGGCTCGACTCAAGGTCATACTCTTGCAGTAGCTCATCATTGCTCCAGTAACGAACGCGTTCATACATGACCTGAGTACGACTCTGGATGATGTTTAGCAGTCTTACCGATTCTTTGAGTTCTTTACGCCTCTTGTTAATTTGCCTAATATTTCGCAATGTTTGGCGTTTGATTTGGCCGATTTTTCGTAGGGAATTCGACTTTTTGACATTAAATTCCCTCTTAAAGATTTTCGCACAAATGTTCGCATAGCTTTGGATGTAGTCGACTCCTTCTAGGATGATCTTATTCCAGTGTAATGCATCCTTTTGGAGGACTAGTGGTATTTTCTTTAACTCTCTTGCAATCCTGTCAGTGTTCATTTTGAAGCTCAATCAAAAAAGGCGAGGACCAATTTTATGACACACTACAGTGCTGCGTATTGTCTAAATCGCTTTTTGAGCTCAACAGTGCTCAACACTGGTTTAAAGTAACATTTCTAATAGGAATAAGTTAGAAGAAGAGTTCTAATTAGAATTTCATTAACTCTTGACTCTCTTTCTGTGTGCTGCTTTCCCTTTCGTTGCGTGTTCACATGCAGAGAGAGAGACCTAAACAGCAGCAGCAGCGTCCCGTTCCACTCTCTGCATTGCCCCTGCTTTGCTTTGATTGGTTGTTTAAGCTTACTCTCTTTTATAATTAGCATCACAACAGCTGCTTAGCAGTGGAATGTTAACACTTACATTTGTGTTATTGTTTTTTGCAGTCTCTTTCTCGCTCACTCTCACGCTCTGCTTAAGAATGTGCTGCAGCAGATTTGACGCGTGTCTCGTGCATTAACCAACACTGATTATCTTTGCTATTCCTCTGTTGCCAATTTGATCGCGAAAATAATAATAATAATGATACAAGTGTTTCTACTAGTTTATGCTGCGCAATAATTGCGCGCTTGTTATGTGAACTCCTTCGACTTCGGCTTGCTTGCGCCGTGCAATTAGCTGGCCTGCTATCTCTTTCTATCTGCAGCCTGTCAGCTGGGAGCCGCACAGACATGAGTTACTGTGCGTTGATTGCGTTTAAGGCTTGATTGTGCATCATACAGCAAAGGCAACAGCAACAACAACAGCAACAACACAATTTGCTGTTCTTTTGAGGTAAGCGCGCGAACTGGTTTTATTTTTTGCTTTTGGTTCTGCATTAATTATCAACAAATCATTTTTGTAGCACTGAAAGGCGCATTTATTAGTGATTATGCAGCGGGTGAGCGAAGTGGATGCGGGCCCAGGGGCGCAAGGCGCTTGGTGTCGCAGAACATGTGTTTCGACTCCAGCATCAGGATGCGCAAGCTTTTTGGTCAACGTCTTGACGTGCTGCCACCGAAAATTTGTCAGGCACAATGATCGAGTCGATGGACAAGTGGACCAGGAGGAGCGTGGAACGTGGCCAGCGGACGTGCGGACGAGGCGACGCGTCGGCGACATGACATGGCCGTTGATAATGAATAAAGAAGCGAAAAAGAACGAGGCATTGCAATTAAGATATTTTTATGTAAATTAATGAAAACAGCAAGCGGCAAGCGCAGCAGAAGGTCGCCAGATCGTTGATAGTGCAGCAGGAGAAGGCGGCAGGGGGATACAAGGGTTGCAGCAGAAGAAGGCGCACAAGCAGAAGCAAAAGGGAATGCGAGAAGCAGTAGCAGAGATGCTGAGCAGGAGAATCTACCAAAACAGACGCAGCAGCAGCAGCAGCAGCAGCAGCAGCAGCAGCAGTAAGAGCAACTGCAGCAGCAGCAACTGTTGCTATAGACGGCGCTGCAGCAGTCTCTGTGGCAGCATTCTTCGACTGCATGCGTGCAACTTACAAATAAGTACAAGCTGAGCAACGGCCAAACTCCAATTGCGACGAAAACTGTGGCGCATTTTTAATTGGAAAGCGCGCACAAAAACCAAAGCGCGATTCGAGCATAGAGTTTACACGACTAACAGATGCGCTGCAGAGAAACGGAAAACATTTTAATTCGAATATATTTTATAGACGAACTTTATATGCAGAAAAGATTATATAGATATAGATGCAGCTGTTTAGTTATTGGCGTAGATATACCAAGCTAGGGATAAAAGATTTTGTAGATTCAGAGATGAAGCCTACCCGTTTATCTGCCTTATCTTTACTTTATATTTATTGTATCTTCAAGATACTAGACTTCACTGGGATTGCATCGTAGCGTCAGACAGTTATATAGTCCGAATTACCAAACCTTTCAAATCTAGTCAAAGAGTAAGAAAAGCTTCTGAGCTAAGATCAGCCCAAACACACACACAATATACCCCTTCTCTATTGTAGGGTATCAAAACGTAGCCGAAGTTGCCGCAGCCTCGACCAACGATCTGCAAGACAAAAAAAAAAGAGAAGAAGGAAAAAAAAGTGACGCACCGAAAATTTATTGTCTCATGATGCGAAGCCGAACGAGCCGAGCTGAGCTGCATGTCGAATGGCGAGAGCAAACAGCAAAAAGGCCGCGAGCAATCGAACGAGAAGGAGCCGAAGCAGAAGCAGTAGCGGAAGGAGGCAGCAGGGGAGACCAGGAGAGATCAGGAGAGGGCAAGTAGCAGGAATCGACTCCTTTGGCTGGGCCTTTACTTAGGCATTTATGTCTGGCACTTGACACATTTTGTTATGGCATCGCAGCTACCGCGCGCCTCTTCCGACTTGTTGTTGACCCAATCAAAATTCCAGCATCTTGCACTTGAATGCGTTTAATTTGTAAGCTCGCCGGGTTGCAAAGTGTTGAGCCGCATGTCGAGACATTGTATGGGAATCGGGATCACTAGAATCTCCGGCTCTGCTGCATCGATACGTTAACCGATCCGCAAATCGACAACAATCGTGTTTACAAGGCGAAAGCCAACTGATTTTCAGAGATACAATGCTAATGAAGCAAGGATTATGTTATTATAGAAAGGGGAATTACAGGTTATACATGTAAATTGAGGCCTAACTCGGGATTTGATATTTGCTGTATAGGAGAGGCAAGAGATTATCAATGGCATATCAGGGCAAGCATAACTGATAATTGATTAGCATTTGATTATTCATGATCAGATTTTTTTCTAGAGCTTTCAGATTTTTCAGATTTCCTCTACATAATTCCTTCCTTTTGCATACCTCTGGTATATCTCCAATGGATGATCGATAAGGGATATCCTTCTCTTATAGACTCCCTTCGCATCTGCTTCTCTAGATTTATTCCTCTTCTAGATTTATTCAACAACTGCTTAGGTTTCCTTTCAAAATATCTCCCAGCTCTTTTTTAAATCTCTTCCGGATCCTTTTCACATCATTTTTACAACATATCTTCTCCAACTCTTTTTCCGATCTTGGCTTCACAACCATTGCCGAATCTCTCCCGCTCTTCCTCGACTGGCACTCTTTCATCTTCGTTTGCTGATTTGCATTGTGGCAGCAAATAGAGAATGCATAGAGAATTCTATATCCGTATATAAATATGCTCCACTTGCAGCTGCACTTTGAGCTCGCCCCATTTGTTCTGTTCTGCATTTCCCTTTGGCGCTTTGCTGTTGTTGTTGCCCATGATGCCCATGCTACGTTGTTGTTGTTGTTGTTGTTATTGTGTTGTGTGGCATAAGCCAAGCTATTTGCCTGCTTATCTGTGCCGACTTCCTCTTAGCCTCCTGGCCACTTCATAAGTGGCCCCAACTGGGCGTCTGTGTGTGGGGTGCAGCTGGCCTTTAACCAGTTCCAGTTCGAGTCCCAAACCCAAGCCCAAACCCAAACCGAAACCCAATTCCAATCCCAGTTTCAGCTCTAGCCCAAGCTCCAATTGTGGCTCCAGATTGTTGCCGGTAGCGTTCGCTGATCGCAGCAGGCAGACGATGGAGAGATCGAAGAGGGGGCCAGTTGATTTATTCTAATCTGTATAAGCATTGCTATAATAAAGCAAAAGTGCCCACTGAGTGGACAATGCTGGCCAGCGGCTTTTGACCAGCTTTTCAGTTCTACTTGTTGTTGTTGTTGTAGTTGTTGTTGTCCAGGCCAAATTGCCGATCGGCCAGCGCAGTGGGCACTTCGTTCAGTCAGGCAGTGCTGCGTTTCTTAGCTGGTTTGCTGCTAAATCTAGCTTATTTGTATAAGGCGATGAGGACGGAATGCACAATGTTATACAGAGTAGAGAAAGGAAAGTAGATATGAATGCAGAATCAGGTAGTATAGAATACATAGGATGGATTGCAACGGAATGGAATAAAACAAGAAACAGCTCCGAAAAGAAATTAATAAATCCAGCCAAGACCCTTAGCCATAATTAATTGGTTGGCGTAAATTTCATCTCAATTTAGCTTCTTTTTTGGCGGCTTTAAAGCTGGCATCTCTATGGCAACTGCACAGTCGCTTTGGGGCTTTTGAGCAATGCGCGTAATTGGATTTAAGCCCAAAGTGCAGACGCAGCTGCAGATTCTAATGACTCAGCAGGAGCAGCAGCAAGGAAAGAGAGAAAGAGAGGGAAGGAAAGATAAGCAGAGGAAGAGAGAGAGAGACAGCGATAAAGAAAATGTATCACACACTCTTTTTCGCTATAGCTCTCTTCCTCTAAACATCGTGAAATACACAGAGAGAATATGACTCAGATAGAGAAATAGACGGAGAAAGGAGAATACAGAGAGAGAGAGAGAGCGCGAGAGAGAGTGAGATACAGAGAGATATAGAGATTTACAAAAATCAGACATAAAGAGAGAGAAAGAAAGCGACTGACAAGGATGAGAAAAAGGCAGAATCAGAGAGACGGAGAGAGAGAGACACATATAGTAAGAAAGAGAAGGAGGAGAGACTTAGGCAGACAGAGAAAGGGAGCGGGAGAGTGGAGAGAAATAGAGTGAGGTCCCAAGATGTTTGGATGCTTTTACAGCGAGCCAGGGAAATTGACTAACAAATTAAGTTGCAAGCGCTAATTTATCGTTTCAGCTCGACTTCTGCGACGCTATCGGCCGAGGCAAGTGCAAGAGGATTCCGGTTGCACAGGCTTCGTGTGTTATCGACACAAAGTGTTTGCGCCCCGACAGGCGACAATGATACGCCCCTTCGAGGAGGAGAAGCAGAGCAGCTAAACCTGCCGGCAGAGCTGAGCAGAGACAAGCTTTCAGCTGCAGCCACTTTGTCAGCCGCTGTCCACAGAGCTCGGCGTGGGGCAGCTGCCGCAGCGGAGGCAATTTTTCTTCTTCTTGCTGCTGCCGCGATTTTATTCAAATTTTAACATGCTGCAGACATTCAATGTTGAGCCTGGCAGTAGGCGGCGGCCAAATCACGTAATGCGCCTTGCAAACATCGTTAAAACACTTGCAACGCGCTCAACACGGTCTGCAGGCAGCATGTTGCAAGCCTGCAAGGTTGCAACACTAAAGCCTTTTGTCTACATCTAACTTCATCCGCATGGGCCGGCACTCCTCTGGGTTCCTTT